CTATTATTTATGTGTTTATTTATTTATGTTGTATTAAATTTATTATGTTTGGGCTTTTAAATAATGTTGGTTATGAATATGTTGTAATATATATATAATGTTTGATTGTAATATATATTTATGTTGTATATATATGTTGGGCTTTTAAATAATGTTTGATTGTAATATATATTTATGTTGTAAGAAGGCAGTTGAATATCAGATATATATATATATCAAACAGATATGTTCTAAGAAGGCAGTTGAATATCAGATTGAAAAGAAAACATCGGTTTCTTCAGTTCAGAGAAGAAAACTTCTCTTCTTACACCCACCGTTTGCATTCCACTGCATCATTTGGTATCAGATTCAGGACGATTCTCGATGCCGCCGCGAGGACGAGTTGCAGCAACCGAACGGTGTGATGCCGACATCGACGATCGTTTTCAACGGATAGACGATCGATTTCAGTTGATGGACAATCGGTTTACTGATCTCTCCACCAGAATCGATGAGATACGTATCGTTCTTGCTACCTTGGATCGGAATGGACAAACGAACCGTGACTTTGCCGGAGGCCGTGGCGGTCGCGGGGGTCCCAGAGGTGGCCGTGGCGGACGTGGATTTGGCGGGGCGCCCCGACAACCGTCTCCACCCCCTCTTAACGGCAGTGACGATGACGCCTCCACTTTGTCGGACAATCCGTTTGCAGCCCAACCACAACGGCGACAAGATGAACCTCGAGGTCCTGACCGTTTTCGCCATCAATGGCCGACTGACCTTGGAGGTCGCGTCGATGACATCGAAACCCTAGGCGATGGTGATTTCGCAATCAGCACCGGGGCGACAGTGGTTTTGTTCCAGAATTAGAGCGTGATGCTCTAGGTCACGACGGTCTGCGAGGCGGCAATTCTGAATTTCATCAAGCGGCTTTCGGCGGGGATGTCCGCGGAGGGTAGCAACCGGGTCGCCGAGGACCTACCATGTTTGAGGATGACCGGGCCGACGGCGATTTGTATTGGGGTGGTGATTTTGGTGCAGGCCGTGGCCATTTTTTTCATCTTGTGCGTGAATTTGGTGCCGACAGAGGGACTTTTGATGTTGGCAGAGAAATTGGGCGTGAAATTGGAATTGGCAGAGGAAAGTTTATTTTGCCTGATTATGGGCCAACAACTGTTTTTGGTGGGCCTGGGCATGAGGCCCATTTTCGCAGGCTAGGGACTGAAAGGGATTCTAATAATCGATGGGAATCTTCTTTTCACGTTGAAATTCTGGATTTTGCTGGTGGGTTGGATGCTAGTGAATTTCTTTATTGGTTAGCTTCCGTCGAGGCCTCCCTTGATTATAAATGCGTACCAGACGAGAGGCGAGTCGCACTTGTGGTCACTCGACTTAGGGGACGTGCGGCCGCTTGGTGGTTACAATTACAGGGTGTGCGGCATCGACAGAGAAAATCGAAAATCACTTCGTGGGTGAAACTTCGTAAGTATCTTGAATGTGAATTTTTACCGTTTAATTTTGTCCGTACTTTATATCAGCGTGTGCAAAATCTTCATCAAGGACAACGTAGTGTGGATGATTATACTGAGGAATTTTATAAACTTTTGGCCCGGGTAGATATTCGTGAAACTCAAGAACAGTTGATTTCTCGTTATATTGGGGGATTGCGTGTCTCTATTCAGGATGTGTTGAATATGTTTACACCGGCTTCCGTTTCTGAGGCTCATCAGCGGGCTTTATTGGTTGAGCAACAGCAAGCCAGGAAGGTGGGCACTTCTTTTGCGTCGTCTACAAAGGAGCCTCTTGGGACTTCGGGTTTTGAGTACTCCTTCTGAAGGCCGTGTGGTTGGCCCCATGATGGGGAGTGGTAATCGGCAGTCTAGTGATCCGCGTTGTTTCACTTGTGGTGAGCTGGGGCATCGCCAGGCACAATGCTCGAAGGCGAGAGGGTCACGGGCGTTGCTTGTTGACGAGCCAGACTCCACTGCTTACGACGGTCCTCCAATTTTCGATAAAGAGCCGGAGGTTCCCGAAGTGCATGTTTCGGGAGACGTGGGTCACGCGCTTGTCCTTCGTCGGTCTCTTTTGTCTCCCCACTTCTCTTCCGAGGATACGGTCCAGCGACACTACCTTTTTGAATCCACATGCACCATTGGTGGTCGGGTGTGTCGTTTTGTCATTGATTCCAGTTCCTGTGAGAATGTGATTTCGAACGAGGCTGTGACGAAACTGGGGTTGTTAAGTGAGCCGCATCCGGATCCATATGCTCTTGCGTGGATACAGCATGATGATTCTGTCTGTGTTACCCAACGCGTGTTGGTGAACTTTTCTATCAGATCCTCTTATAAGGACATGACATGGTGTGGCGTCGTTCCTATGGATTCTTGGCACGTGTTATTAGGACGACCTTGGCAATTTGATCGCTCGGTGGTACATGATGGACACCTTAACACATATAGTTTTTCATTTGAGGGTGTTCGCATCGTCCTGCATCCGTCGTCATCCAGTTCTGGTCCTTTGCCATCATCGTCTCCGGTTTTATTCGTCTCTCGCGCCGAGCAGTGTAAGGAGTTATCTGGTTTGGTGGACGGTTGCTCGATGGTCTTTGACGTAGGTGATTTTGTCGACTGGGTCGCTCAGGATGCCGACGAGATTGTGGATTCGAGGGCGAATCCTCTCCACCTGGGGGAGAATGATGCCGACGAGATTGCATTAGCATATCTCGACAAATATGATCGACTTATGCCTTTAGTTTGATTGTTATTATATGTATTACTATTATTTATATGTTTATTTATTTATGTTGTATTATGTTTATTATGTTTGAGCTTTTAAATAATGTTGGTTAGGAATATGTTGTAATATATATATCAAACAGATATGTTCTAGGAAGGCAGTTGAATATCAGATTGAAAAGAAAACATCAGTTTCTTCAGTTCAGAGAAGAAAACTTCTCTTCTTACACCCACCGTTTGCATTCCACTGCATCAAAATGTCTCTGTGGTGCAATGTCTCGATGCTCTTGTGATATTTTTCACTCTGATGTATAACTATGCGCTTTTATGCAGTTGATTTAAGGATTATTCATCTCAAATCTCATATCACTGGTTTATTTAGATAATGTAAATGATCATGAAAATGCCCACCTCAAGTTATGCCTTCATGATGTAGTTAGAGGGGGAAAGCATATGTATATTGTGAAATGAAAAGGGAAAATAAGCTTGATCAAGTATCTCAATTGTCATCTGCTTAGGTGCTGCAGTTTATGTGTAGCCTCTAAGGATCTGATAGCACTTGTTTGTACTTAAATTTTGACCCTCATAGGGAGACCATATGTTTTGACGCGATTTTGAGAAGCCCGTCTATGAAATGGTTAAGAGTCCAAAGCATGGTTTTCAACGCCTCTTTCTTCACGGCAAGACAAAAATCACGTTCGGCCACGACGTACACAGGCTCCTATTTTCCAGCACTCCTTCACTGCGCGACCATGGAAGTTACAAAAATGCACCTCGATGGATTTTGAACCTCATTTTGAACCCATATAAATTGAGACTCGTGCCAAATGTGGATGGACATCCATGAACACGTGAAAAACGGCTTGGGACCAATTCAAAGGCGCTTGGACACCAAAAACCCTCTTATAGATTTAGTTCCGTAGGAATTTCTCCATTTTTCTCTTTTGCTTATGTTTGGATTCTTTGAGTGTTTCATATTGAGATTGAATTCTTGCATCTCTCGGTGATCATAAGTTTTTAATTCTCGTTTATCATTCTTGATTGATTGAATGAGATTTTACTTTGTTTGGTTATGAATTTAGGTCCAAGCATGAACTAATTATTCCATATATGGCTAGGGGTTTCAATTTTCATTTTGAATTTGTGTTGAGTGTGTGATGTACATATTTTTATCCATTTTATGTCCGTGTCTAGAAGTCTTCGAATTTGTAGATATTTTATGCTCGTGCGAAGGAGCTTTCATTTGCTAACATTTTTATGTTCGTATCAATGAGCTTTCGAATTTGTAGATTTGAATAATTTTTGCTCATACCGATGGACTTTATATATATTTAAACTCATATCATGGAGTATCTAAATTGGAATTTTGGATAATATCGAGAAGATTTATGAATAGTTTAAGGCTCAAATTAAAGATCATTTGAATTTTTAGATAGTTTATCTTCGTATCAAAGAGTCTTATGATTTATAGACATCCATTTTAGTTGTCGTCTTATACATTTTCTACAAGAGGTCTTCATTTATCTTCAAAGATTTTCAAACTTGATTTAAAGAGAAAGATGAGAGGTAGAGATCGTCTTACCCAGCGTGCCAAATTTGTGACAATATATTTTCTTTTAGAGCACCCACAATGCTTTGAGTCTCTTTTTGCATATGTGGCAAATAAATAGACTTAAGTCTATAATGACATGGACAAACCCAAGCTAAAAAATCCAAAATCTATCTAATGCAAAAAAAAAAGTACTATGTCTAGAATACCTAACAACTAATAAAAATATAATAATAGTAAATGATTGCTATTGTAAGGTTCACACTTGGGTCCAAAATAGACCCAAGAGTGGACTTGGTCTCTTCTTTTATTGCCATATAAGCTAGACTAGGTCCACTTTTGATTGCATTGTGAAACACATTTTTATAGATTAAGTCTATTTCCTACATGACATGCAATTTTTTTTTAGAGAGACACAAAACATTGTGGGTACTCTAAGTGTAAACTCCTTGACACAAAGGCAATTTGTAACTCATATCAAATTAACTTATCATTTATTAGCTAGGCTTTGGAATTTGCTAAACATAACATTTAAACCGTGTCATAATTGTGAAAATCTAAAGTAGAACAAAAAATAGCTATCTTTCTACGGATTGTTTTGTACGTACAAAGTCAATGAAAGTCCAGCTGAAATAAGTTTCAAGTGGTGGGACATTGAAGTGGTCATACACCCACGCTCAGTAATCAATCGTGTAAAAGACATCAAGGTACAACTTAGAGAAGCAAGCAATTGTACCATGTGCTACGGCCGGGAGCGGCTGCCGTCGAAAGACGATATCGTCGGACCGCCGCGTGCGCCGCGCGACAACGGGGACGCCGTAGAGAATCTGATGGACAGGCTGGCCGAGACGGAGGCGCGGCTTGAGCGAGCAAGGGCGAGGGAAGCCGAGTTGAGCCGCCGCCTCGACGAGACGAGGAAATTCGTGTGCGTTATGGAAATCCTCGAGTCCTACCTCAGGCGCCAGTACGAAGAACAGCGAGAACGGGTGGCGCGCCTATACTCCCGATCGTCGCCTTCGCCTTTGGTACCCTTAAAGTAATTCACAACTTTATTTGTGTTCTGTTGGTGCTTGGGAGAAAAAAAGAGTAGTCTTTGTTCTGATTCTTCGTATTATGTTGTGGTAATTGTGGTGTATATATAATACAGTGGTGGTCATCATGTGACAATTGTTTTTGAAGCTGTGAATCCTGTCTTGTTGGTTTAATGATGTTGATAAGCTTAAAATGATGGATTATTTCTTTTGTTTTGTTTATATGGTTGAATGAGCCAACACTAATTTGAGTCGGTTTGAGTCGGTAGAGGTGAACTTTGATTATACTTGGACCGGGTCATGACTTGGGATCTTAACATGGTTAGTTAAGTATATCTTAACCTTTAAGTTAGTAAGTTTTGCCAAACTCATTGGTAACGGTATGTTATGCCTTTGTTTTTTATGTGCTTACCCTATACCAGGAATGCAGAATACCCGACACTTTCAGAACATCATATCAACTAAACGGAAGTGACAAAAATATGCTATAAATGTGTTGTGGCTGTATTACATAATCACCATTGTTAGATTTAGGAAATAATATCTCATCTGGTCTGACACTAGTTTATTACCGAGCAAATGAATTTCAAGCATATTGTGGAAAAAAACTTAGTAGTTACAGTGACAAAGAGATTTGGTATCTGTAATGAGATCAATATGGCTAATTGAAAATTGAGATATAGTCAATCAAGGGATCGTAGGACAAACATACAAAATTTCATTAACGGTACTTCTGTTATTTTTTCTGTAAGAATATAATGTATATCAATAAATAGTCCTAAAAATTATAATCACTCACCGAGCATCTGTTGAAGCATGTTGTTCTTAGTTCAAGTTTAACAAGTATTTTTGTGAGTATACAAGTCTTTGTGTGACATCATGTATGACATAGTTTTTTATGCTCCAAATACGACTAAGGCCTGGAAATTGACTTCTAGTTTTGTGTTGCATCATATATGACTCCTAGTTTTTGTTCTAGAGAAGAAACTAAGGCCTTGAGAATGAGTTTATTCTTAAGAGGAAGAAGGCCTTTGATTTGTGGCCTGCAATTCAAATATAATCAGTCAGTTATTGCTGGATGGTCCTTTATTCTGCCAATCCTGGATTACCGACCGCAGAGTATGGTTTGGAGTTAATAGTTTGTGAGTCAGCCTTAAGTTAGTCACTGGTGAGGTGTCATGTCCCGTTTTGAGCCACTCGTCAATGGCTTCCAATTCGTACGAAAATCCGTCCGCAGCAAGATGAGGATTTCTCATGACATCCTGCAAAAGGAGGCATGATAAGAACAAGGAAATAGTTCTATTTTCATTATTGATAATTACTAAAACAACCTCTGGTGTTTAGTCAGGTCATAAAAAGAAACCCATTTATCTTCCACTGTTACAAATGTTCTCATGAGATTAGGTGCAAATATTATGTAATGTTGTAGTTAGACCTTTCTGTTTATAGAGACACGATTAGGGGAAGAAAGAGGATAGATAACACAGACGGTACTAATAATAATCACCTGATAGATAGGACAAATGAATGCACTAGGTACGTTGCTCAAGTCCCCCACGTCAGCACTCTCCTCTGCAACAGTCGCAGAGCTTTCGCCATCAGCAGCCACCGAATCCGCTCGTTTTCTTACATCATTGATCTCTCTGGTCGGCATTTTAGCCATTCCCTCATCCGACAGGCACTTCTTTGCAATGCTGCAAAGTTCCATAGCCAAATCCATGGGCCAAGGCCCGGCTGATTGGTCTAGGCCCGCATTATCTGTTGTATCAGACCAATTCTCACCTGTTAGGAGCTGCACCACTAACTTCCCGAAAGCCCGCACGTCTAATTTGATCCCGAGCTCGTAGTGCGACCAGGGGTCCCTCAAGCAGTTGATTTTCACAATGTTATTCCTGTCAAGGAGGATTTTGGAGGGTTTTAAGTTTCCATGGATGATCGGCTTAGGCTTGACCCTGTGGAGGTATCCTAAGGCTGAGCAGATTTCAGCTGCAATTCGTATTCGGTCATACCAAGTTAGACCAGGATTCTTGTTTTTACTGCCTTGACCAGTCGAAAATAGTGCATCCGAAAGGGTACCGTTGTGTGCGTGCTCGTACACGATGCAGTTTAGCTCAGTGCAGAAGCCAATCGCGGCTAGTACGTTCAGGTGCCTAATTTGGTTAAGAAGTTTCACCTACATATATAGGAAAGCTTATTCAGTAAGCGTAGTTTTCTTCTATTTTGCTTTGGAATAGAAGACTAATGGAGTATTTGCTCTTATCTGAAGAAAATAGTTGGGAATAAAAGAATCGGTGTTCGCAAAATGAATATTAATTATAAAATTTTAGGATTGTGCTTGGTATGTATGGCTCCTTTTTCGTTTAATAAGATCTTCTGAGTGTTTGCACAAACTGCCTAACTTCTGTGAAATATAAACAACTCAGCTTACCTTGGATGCCAATGACTCTTCATTTGCGGAATTGTAAATTTTAACAGCAACCATTATATGATTGATCCGACCCTTCCAAACATCTGTCGACCGACCTCCAGATTTCAATCTCAAATGTTCGGAAAAGTCTTGCGTGGCTTCTTTAATTTCGGCTCCAGAGAACTCCCTGAAATCGAAACCAAGGCCGATCGACTTTGATACTTCCCCAATTGCATCCTTTTCCTTACAGAACTCTATCCGCCGTTGCAAAATAACCCTTTGTTTTCTCAGTTTCTCGATTTCCTCAATCATTTCAGCTCTTGCTTGCGCTGCTTTCTCTAGTTGGGCCTCTGCACGCGCTCTGGCTGAGGACGACATGTGGAGTTTGCTCGTGAGTTCATTTTGTAGCTCAAGAATCGAGCTGAGCTTGCTTCTCTTTTGCTCCACTTCACACTCGAGTTCGTAAATCTCTTCTTTTCTGCTCTCTATTTCTTTGTTTAGATCGGCAGCTTTCGCAATCTCTTCATTTAGGTTGTCCTCAAGCTCTTCGGCCTATGTCAAACATGTCATACATTTATTGGGCAATTTATCTTTAACAAAACTGCTGAAAAAATGGAATTAGAATCATATCTTAATTAGCAGAAAGCGTGATTTTACCCTGGTGTTGCATATACTTATTGCCCATTTTGCTTTCTCGCGCCTTTCTTTGGCGACATTCGTGTGCTTTCTGTTAAACTCGATCATGTCTCGAGCGTTTTGTATCCTGGTTTTGAGAGCATGAATTCTTTCTGCTGCATCCTGATCATTATTTTGGGATAATGAAAACACAAGCATTTGAGATTCTTTCTAGAAAAAACTATATGTTGGGTCTATTTGTCTAGCAAATAAAAACTTGAATGAGGTACTTGCATATTCTAAAGATAGCTTAGTTGTTTTGTAGTAGTGCTAAATACCTGAGGATAGTTTTTGTGAGAAAAAAGTGTGGCTATCTCCAATATTTGAAACCAGTCATGATTATAATAATAATAGAAAAATAAAATAAAATGAAAAAAACTGTGGCAAGATTCTTACAACTTTACCATATTTTCTGGTATACATAGCTCAGTAGAATATTCCTTCAATATTGCATTTGCCCCATCAAACTCTCCTTCCTCTTTATGCAAAGACAACAATTTGTTGGCATAATGTTCAATCTCTAGACCGATTTTCTCCCACTGTTGAGTCGAGTCGTGGCTTCTCGAGGAGGAAGGTGAATCTGGAGGATTATTTGAATAATTCACACCATCTTCAGGCCATACTATTTTTCCCAGCCAATTTCTTATGCTGTAATTCTTTTCTTTAAGCTTGGCAAGAATAGATCCTCTATCATCTTCTATATACCCTTCTTCATCATTTTCTCCTCTCAGGAAAACTAATCTCCCTCCACATATCACAAACAGATCGCAAAATTCAGGCTTGTGGCGGACCACGTAGAACGAGCTGTTAGTTGCGGTTCTCGTTCTCGATTTCCTTCATTATCGAAATGTTGAGAAGAAAATTTTACCAAGCTTTCTACAAGGACATAGATAAAAAGAAAATAATAATAATAATAAAATAAAATCTCACAAATTTGAGAATTTTGAGTACCAGGAAGAATATTTCATGAAACCGAGTGACAGGACTAATTTGGTTATTCGGAAACTCGATATTATTTCCAAAATTTGTTTGTGTAATGGCTCCTGATCACTATTCTCAATTTGCATCACCTCTGCCTTGACCTATGAAGGAGGAAAAAAATGAAAAACAAAAAAACCAAAAATGATTCCGCATTTGTCCAAATTGATCGAACAATACATGTATGGATTCGAAAAACAAAAAAAAAAAAATCAACCTCGCCACAAGCGGCTATGTACTGAGATAAGATTTTATCCCTATTGGCATCCTCAATCCTTTCAAGAACTTTTACTTTCTCTTCATTCACAGAACTTGTGGGGAGTTTCCCAACTGCATTCACATTTGATCAACGAAAAAGAACACGATGAGCATAAATAGATTGAAGCACGATTTTCAGTCAAAAATACAAAAACAGAAAAGAAAGAAAAAACTTACTGGGTGTGTAAACGTAGTCTTTGCATATAGTGTTTGCTGCATGAAGAATGACTATACTGATCTCATCATTAGACCATTTTTTTAGTGCCCATTGCAAAGTGGTAAAACCATCATACCAATCTGCTCCAACTGCTACATACACTTTCTCAGCTTGATTCTCCATTTTTCTATCTCACTTGGTCATATCATCAAATAATTTCTACTGGTAATTATTGATGAATTAGGAATCTTGAAAGGTTGTTGTAGCAATTATTTCATGGCTCCTAACTGTTGATTAAGATGCTGGGGCAAGAAAAAGGAACATGGAAAAAGTAACTGGGTTTGGCAACTGTGTCCTTAAAAGTTTCAAAAGTGTGATCAGCCAAATTCTTTAAAGGGGACTCTAGTTTGTGATAGATGGCAAAAGTCAGCCAAAACCTTGGAATTTTTCTACGCATGATTTTTGCCTTTGCGGTGATGAAATGTTCAGTGGGCACCTCTCCTTTGAATTGTACAAAATAATATAAATGTTTTTTTAAACACTTTTTTTTTTTTCTTTTTGATGATGAGGAAAAATCAGCTGCACCATTTTGAATTTCATGTTAGGTCAAGCCTTGGACTTGGGTTAGTAGGTTGGATAAAACCAAGTTTTGAAAACCGAATCTGTCATCGAACCGGTGAAGCTACTGGTCAGACCAGTGGTCGGACGGTTGAATTAATATATAATTTTTTTAGTTATTTTATATGTATATTTTATAATTACATATATTTTATTATTAGTTTTATAGTGTATAGTGACATTTCTCTATATACAAAATAATTGTATTTATTTTTTATCATTAGTTTTATAAATATAACATAAAATTGTATATATCTTTATCATTATCAGATTAAATGTTAAAGTGTTAAACTTATTATTTAAGGTTTGTATTTATCTTGTAAANGAGGGGAAACAACTAGTCCCACATCTATAAACTATCAAAAAATGAGAGAAAATTACTCCTACTCCTTATGTCTAAATAGTGGGTAGTTATATAATTTTCCCACGAAATGAAGTATTTATAAGAAAAAAGTCGGACCACATGTTTGTATAAGAAGCCATTGGGCCGCTGGAACCGGCATCAATTTTTCAGGCATGCTTGTTTATGAAATAATTCATTTTACACTTAAAATCTAACTCAATCCCACTATCATTTATATTATTTATATAATTAAATATTATAAACCAATCATTCTTACATATCACATCAACTTTAATTCACTATTCATCCACTCACATAATTTTAACTATTTATCATTTCCAATCATTTATATCCTACTTTTATATAAAATCATTAATAATCGTTTTATTTTAAATATTATTTTAATATATTATTAAAATCCCACTAACAATTAACCATATTACCTTTTTCAAAATTAACTCTAGTTAACTAAAATAACTCATTTTGAATGAAATATTTCATAAACAAGCACGCCCTTAGTGTTTTACTAATTTTTGAACAGTCTGAGCGGTTTCCAATCGGTTTTGGTGCCCAGCTATTTGACACCTCAGATTAGACCACTGAGATGGGCGGTTCCTGGTTGAACCGACCGGCTCGGTCCGGTTTTCCAAATCATAAATATAGTCATCATTACATTCCCATTTTTTTTTTCATATATAAATACGGCCCATCAGGCCCCATAATGAACAGGAGATAACAAATTCATCAATAAAATGCTCTCATGCACTCTCTTAAACTTTTAGGCTGATCTCATTGTAGAGTGATCGACAGTCTCTTTATCCCAGTCTATTTTTCATATTTTGTGTTAAACCTCGATTTTGCAGTTAGAAAATCAATTTAATACCCCCCATCAGTAGTTATTTCGTTATTCCTAACAACATTAATACCCTATAAATTCGCCCCTTTAATTGTGGTTGACATCCCATGTCAACAAAATGGCGCTAGAAAGAGGGTGATGATCTAGGGTTATCGTTGAAGCTCTCTCTATGTATAGCTACTCCCTCCATGCCTTTTTTTTTTCTTTTCCAAGAAAAAACACAACCTACAACCTTTCCAAATGATTTGCCTTATTCGGTTATTCTTACTAAAAAAGAGGGCGGCACGCCCGACTCTCCCAACAGTTTTTTTCATCCTGTTACTTTGTCCAAGTAACTACTCCCGAAAAACGTTTTCAAATACCATCACTTTACCTCCCATCCCCATAAAAGATTTGGACTCAAAACCTTTCGTCAATCTCTATATTAGCTTGCCTTCAATAAGAATACAGATTGATTAGCTCACATTCAGTAAGAACGTGGAGAAGGTAGATAATTTTGTCCAACAATAGTAACGGCTACTGTGTAGTCGGACGATCTAAGGATGACTTTAAGAAGGATATCCCTTTGTGGTTTCTTCTCAGACCTTGTTCTTAGGTCTTGAAATTTTTTACTCGGTGATCAATCTGTCTAGTCGGCGGTCACTCCATATTCTTGATCATGATCGTCCAAAGTTCAGATCACTAGGTTGGGACATAACCAAAAACCCGGGGGCACGACAAAAAAAGTCTAAATGAGTAACCTCAACCTTTCAGGTCGAGATTAACCATCAGAGTGCGCCAATAGTCTATGACACTCCTCTCATCAACAAAGGTCGTCATAAAAAAGCCTCACCCGATGCTTTCTCAGATCAACAAAAAGAGAAACTGATATGTGCAAAGATGATCCAAAAAAGACATATCGGCTGCAAGATCATCAAAAGTTTTTCTATAAGCCTCATTCACAGTTTCCAACTGTTCGGCCAACACCCTCATTCGATCTCCACAACGCATGTGTTTGGCCTTTATTGTGTCTGACTAATCGCCCAACAGGTGCGCCTCATCAATTGCTTGCATGATTGACCCCATTACTACAGCCAGGTGAGCCACAATCCATTGTAGCCGCTCAGAAGCATGCATACCTTTAACCTTCGTTTCCATGTTAGGATCACCATCATCGAAACTTGATCTGAGTTCATTTCATGCTTTGGCATGCCATAAGGATTCATAATCTTTGGCATTGACGAGCCCATGAAGCTGCAGGACCAATCGATGTCGCTACCCTAAAAATTATGTTGACTTTTGTTTTTCCTATGGGACGAATCACGCCGTTGGGCATAGGATGGGGAGCATTTGCTCAATTTCCATTGTCGGGACATGTTCCAGTTGGATCGACTCCACATTTGGGACAATCGGGTCCGAGCGTTCATTCTCCTACCCTGTTGGGGTTCAGTGAAGAACCTTGATGTTCATACAAGTTTGAATTATCTATGAATTAATCATAAGCACAACAGATCTAAAGATTAGGATTGAATACTTAAAGTCTAAAAAATTTGCAGACTCTGTAAAGACTTACACGATCTACATGACCGGACGAACAAAGCTTCTTTTTACCTCTAGATCTTCTGTTGTATTCTAGACATCGACTTCGTACGTCTTGGTGGGCGACAAATCTGAAAACTCCCTTGGATGATCTCACGTTGATCGATTGGAATTAATAAAGAAGAAGGTCTTGTATTTTTTAACTCTATTTTTTCTTTATTTAATTTAGTTCTCAATTTTTCACTCTTCTAAAAAACTCACGCACGCATGAATATATGAGGGAGGGGGACGGCCGAAATCATCTAATGGTCTGGTGTATTTATAGATTACAATAAAGATCTTGAGGAGATGCTAAATAAATACTCTCCATGCGTCAATATGATTCTAAGGCTCTGGTCCACCTGCACCTTTCACACACGAATAATACTTATCAACAAGACAAATTACTAGTGCAATAAGACATTTTCTTTGTAAAGAGAGCGCTACGGTGTGCTTCTACCCAAACTATTATAAATTCCACTCTTTTATTTTTATCTTTTGCTAATTATTATTGAATGTATGTATTCCTAAATCAATAAAAATAATCCCCAAGACTTAATTTTCCCAAGGTGAAAGACCAAGATTAATTGCATGTTTTATTAAATAGCGAGTGTGTTAATATTTAATCAATTTAATATTTCTTTTCCCAAGTATCATTTGACTGGGGAGTCATTTGTTTTTGTTATTGCAGTATGAATCCATAACTAAATTTCAAAACATTGAAAAACAAAAGGTTTTTCTCTAACTAGTGTGAAAAAATCTAAGATGCAAGTGAAACGAAATGGAGGGAGTAAACTTTGATAGCAACAAAATTAAACGTAAACTGAAGGTCAGAAACTACTCATCTCTATCTAAACTACTATTATAAAATCTCTCTTTGTATAAAAACATACAAACGTTTAAAGAAAATAACCGGGCCTTTTGGAATCGGTGGCCCAGATCTAGTCATGTCCAACTAGTCTGTAGAAACATAATTGGGCCTCTGGAAATCGATAGTCCAAATCTTAGTCATGTTGCCTGCCTGAATACAATACTTTTTTTTTTTTTTTTTTNACCTGAATTTACAATACGATTCAATTAACATGTTCTTGTAATCACTTGTGGTTTTAAGATTTTAAATAACCTTCTTAAGTATACTTTTTAAATATTTTTCAATACGATATTATACACACACAAAAAAGAAAGGAAAAAAGAAAAAACTTATTCTAATTAACATCGTATTCCAAGAGCCTATTTCATATACACTAGTACAGAGCCCGTGCGATGCACGGGGTGCACAATTTTAAGGCTATTTATCTAGACTTATAATTATATACATGAATACAAAAAAATGTACGGGATATATATAGTACGTGACCCGTGCGTGGCACGAGATATATTTATTTGAGGAATACTATATTATAAGATGCAATATTCGATAAAAGTTTTATAATACGCAGGAAAATTATACAATAAGATAGTATTCGACAAACAAACAATCATATATTATTAAAGACCACCTTGTACACAACATTATGAGTTTGATTTTCTATACAATAATAATAAGATTTTTTGTAAAAAGATAAGAAGGAATTTTCAATCTACACAAACTTTAAATATTAAATGTATTTACGTAAATCAATGACTATATAGACAACTAAACCCTTCAATTTAGGCTTGACATCTACTTTGTTTATGGGTGACGTAAAATAAGGATTTAATTTTGACCGATTAAATCTTTATTCATAGGCTTAACATATAAAACTGATTTGATGGGATTTTCTTAACTAAACCGATGCTATGGGATAAAATAAATTTATACTTACCTTTGACTTTTCTAGCAAAGGTAAAAAAATCGGTTCTGACTTTTATCCCATAACAAATCTTTAATGTCAAGCCTATAAATACCAAAACAAATCTGTAATTAATATCACTCTATTTCCAGCAAGCATTAATTACCTTTGACTTTCTGCCTACTATTTCTAGTAAATAGGATGATTTTTTATATAAGTATAGATTTCATATAATGCAAAGACTGAGATCATAAAAAAGAATCCTAAAAACTGAAACAATATATTTGCATAATTTAAGGTCATTAAGAAATCGATCTCTAAACCAGATTTGATTTTCAGAATATGTTTTTTCATTTCGAATTCCATACAAAATGGAATTCTTTCCAACCAATAGATGTCATAGCAAATATTAACTCTTAACTATTAGACTATTAGTACATACCAAGCAAATTGTGTACTGATTTTAGAAAGTTAAAATGATTCATGTTAGGTAATTTTACATTTTATGCATGTTGAACGGTGTGTTTTAAATATTGTTTCATAGAATGTAAATGTGTATTATATTATTTTTATGAGATGTTGAATTTGAAAATTAATAGAATTTTTCTTCATAGGAATTTTAAATGTAACAATATTCTTTGGTATACACTACTAATAAAATCTATATTTAAAGTTTATATTTTTTTTTACCGAAAAAAATTCCTTAATTTAAGGAATC